ATATTTTAGCTTACATTTTCTTAATCACCAGTAAAAATGTGCATGTACTGGGAGGGGGGGGCGAATAAATGGAGAGGGTGAAGGAGGGCAAATATGGTCACTGTGCTTTGTATATGTGAATGAAAATAGAAAATGAAAACTGATGAAACTGTTCTAAGAAGTGGGAAAGAGAGATAAGGGAGAATGATGGGGGGAGGGAATCTAATTAAGATACAGCGTTAAACACATATGTAAACATCACGATGAACTACCCCTGTACAACTACATATGCTAATTTTAAAAAAAACTTAGGAGTTGCCAGTGGGAAAAAAAAGCGCATGTCTTTTTGTGTCTTTATAGACCATCTGTGAAATGTGTATTTATTTCCTGTCTCCTATGCCAACTGTTTTTCTACTTTCTCTCAACCCCTTACCTACCTTTCTGTAGTGCTAGGGCTGAGAACTGGAGCTATACTGCCACTATTCTATATTGCTGGGACTGACAATCTGCAAACGACATTTCCCAGACAACCTTGCCTGTTAGATTATGTCAATAGGAGGTACTGGAGGGCGACAAGAAAGCAGGAGGAAGAGAGAAGTTTCCAGTCAGGACAGGCTAATAGTTGTTCAAGCAGTGTGAAGAAGAGGTTGCCAGGATCCAGTGCCCTAATTAGAGGTAGGTAGTCTGTGGGTTCCAGCACAGTGACATTAGCAACTTATCTCTTTCATTTTCTCTTTTAATGTTTTGCTACTCTATTTCACTCCTTCTTCATTTTGCTCTTCCAGCCTTTCTAATGCTTTGGTAACCAATCCTCAGATTGGGATCTGAGGTGGGCCCCAGGCAAAGAAACCCTATACAAAAAATAACAAAAGCAAAAAAGGGCTGAGGGTGTGGATCAAGTGGTACAGTGCCTGTGTACCAAATCTAAGGCTGAGTTCAACCTCCAGTACTGCCCTTCCCCTCCATCACAAAATCCTTGCATTAAAGCTGAAATCCATTCACTTGTCAATTTCTTCTCATTAGTTCCAATTTTCATTGGTCTCCCAGAACCAAACTAAGCAAACCCTGTACCACTTCATAAACCATTAAGTATTTAAAGTATCTTCAAATAAACTAAAGTGAAGTCAAAGGAAAGTTACACATCAGACTAAACACATATACTCACATGTGCAAAAAATTACCAAGATACTTCCTGTCTAGTAATTATGAGAATTAGCTTCTGAAAGAGAACGAAGTTCAGAAGTGGTGATTTGGGAAAACTCGTCACAGGACCCTCTTTAAGATGACAGACTCAAAAAGTGAAGGGCAATGGGACCATTTTTTTCCTGAGTATAACTCTACCTTAATTTTTGCCTTGTATGTGTCCTGCAAAGGGTTTGGATCCTTTAAACACTAACTGAAGGGTAAGTCAACAGATGAAATGTCACTGCGTTCCACATACTGTGGAACTATGTACAGTCATGAATAAAAGAACTGAGAAAATTTTCAGATGTTCTTGAGAGAAATTAATACTAAGATTCCTAGTTGGGGATCATTAGTAAAGGAACACAGATACTACCTTAGAAATGTTTTAATTACTTCGCTACATCTTATTAGGTCTCTTGTTCTTAAACTTAACTAAACTTAAATAAAATTCTTCTCCTAAACAGAACTTCATCACACGATTTCTTGGGAATATATTAAAGATATGTACTTGAATAAGTAATCTATATTTACAAATCACTGCCTCTTATAATGCTAAACAGTCCAGCAGAGGTCATTCATTACATTCTGATTTTGCCGTAGCGATGGTAATTATAACCAAATATGTATTTTTTCCATTATATCCTTTTAAAAATATTGTTTGACTTCAGTCAAGAGTAGAGACAAATTCCCCAAGTAAACAAACTTCCTTCCCCAACCCCCCACTCTGACTTGGACTTGAGATCCTCCTGCCTCAGCTTCCTAAGTGCTGGGAATACAAGGCATGCAGTACCATCCAGGTACCTGGGTAAAATTTAAAAGTATATCCCACCACTATTTTCTAATACCAAGATACCATCAACTAAATATTATTGAAAAAATTATTTTTTAAAGGCTTATTTACAAAAAAAAAGCTATTTTCTCAGTATTGTAGAGTACAACTTTAAATGAATTTTTGAAACCATTACTAAGACCAAATACAGTATATAGTATATAAACTTTTTTGAACTAAGTATGCCATCTAGTTGTTGTAGCTTTTAAAGTTTCACACAGCATATAAAAAAGAAGTATTTATATAAGACAAAGTTAAAATCACTGAACTACTTTAATATTTTTCCCCTACATCCAGAGTTGGTGGGAGAAGCCAGGAGCCGGTGGCTCACACCTGTATCCTAGCTACTCAGGAGGCAGAGATCAGGGGGATCACAGTTCAAAGCCAGCCGGGACAAACAGTTCATAAGACCCTATCTCAAAAAAACCATCACAAAAAAAGGGCTGGTGGAGTGGCTCAAGGTATAGGGCCTGAGATCAAACCCCAGTACAACAAAACAAAACAAAAAACAAAGTTGTTAAGAGGGAGAAGGGAGGAAAGGAAGCAAAGGGATTGAGAAAAAACAGAAAACAAGCAGACTAAAGCAACGGGAAATGACTTGAAATCATTCAGCTCAATCCTGAATCTTACGAAAAAAAGGGGATTGAGGAATAGAAAAGGTTGGTGATTTAGGACAAGAAGCAAATTAATGAAAAAGCTAAGCTTAACCCTAGAAGACTGCCAGTGCAGCTTTTGAGAGCATCTTTACAAAACAGCGTCGGGGTCAGATCACATCAACAGAAAGAACTCAGTACCACCACAACAAAACCAAGTGTCCCCTTCAAAACCAATGCTGATGCTGCTTTTGCTAACAACCAAACTTCCCAAATCTGCAGTAGGCTACCAACCTGACAAGCACCAGAATCTGACAGGCAGCATTCCAGATCTTCGGGTAGGTGGGCACACTATCCCTGTATGTAGTTGAGACTACTGAAGGAACTACAAAACACTTGCTAACTTTCTTTAAGTTGTTACCCTTTTGTGCTTCTAGAGTCCCAAAAGGTGTCTGCATTCTTCCGATGGCAGTTCTGACAATTTTCTTGCTAAAAGTGTTCACATCATTTTTACATTTTTACTTCATGTTCCTGAAACCAGAATGGAGTACTCTGAAGGCAGGGAATCTATACCGCTTAAACCTATTTTCTAGTCTCTTCTGCAAAAAATAATATTGCTGTTTCTGTTGTTATTGACCAGCAAGCAGAAGCTTCTTAAAAGCCACTACAGAAACTGTTCTAACCCATACCATTAGGACAGTTAGAAGTTAAATAACAGATGTCTAACTGCTGTTTGTTTTGTTTTTTGTGATAGGATCTCACTATGTAGTTCAGGCTGGCCATAAATTCTCAATCTTCCAGTCTCAGCCTGAGTGCTAGGATTACAGAGCTTTGCAACTGTGTCTGGCATAGATAGGTTATACACATTTACTCAAGTATGATGGAAAAAGATTAATCTCACTTTTCATTAATGGAGTTTCTCCATCTGGGGTCCATAGAAAGAATGCACTGGTCATAAATGTGAATTGGAAGATTTTTACTAACTTCTATATTGAAAATTAGCAATTTTTTTTTTTTTTTGCAGGGGGGATGTGTGTATGGTACTGGGGTTTGAACTAGGCAGGCACTCTACCACTTGAGCTACACTCCCCTCCCCTCCAGCCCTTTTTTGCTTTTGTTATTTTTCACATAAGGTCTCATGATTTTGCCTGGGCTGGCCTGGACCACAATGCTCCTACCTATGCCTCCCACACAGCTGGGATTATAGACATGTACCACCACACCCAGCAAAAATTACCAATTCCTTCAAGATTATCCTGAACAAATCACACTGATGTGTGAAATACCTATAAATTTGTCATTAATTGAAATTACAGGTATTTTCATATTAAAACTATTGTAGACTCATCACTATTTAAAATTAGTGAATAGCAAAACTGCCCCTGTAGCTTATCCTCTAATATAAGAAATACGTATTACTCTATCACAAGTTTCTTTAATATTGTTAAATTTTAATGTTTTCCTTTTTAACACTATGTATTTCATTCTATTATGAATCATTATTAGATTATTCTGAGGCAGATCTCATAGCTTCATCAGAAGCTTTCACCAAAGAAGTCCTTGGCATAAAAAATTGGTTAAGGACCTCTGCTCTGTAACACATAAAGTAGGTAAGGTGGTGACAATTCTAAAGGCCCATGGGGATGGCTCTCATATCGTATTAAAATGACAGGCTGGTTTTGAAATATAAATATGTATCTTGTTTATGGCTTGGAAAAACAAGAAAGGTAGTTTTAAACTGACCTTCTTTTCTTGAAAAACGTGTACATCTATGAAAACACATTTTTGAATACCTATTAACTCATTATAATGAACACAATTACAGGATTACAAATGTGTAAGTACTCAGGACCCTTTAATGGTTGCTACATGTTTTGCTAAGTATCTTCAACTTTTAAGATATTTGTTTCTCTGTTTTCTGTTTGTTTGTTTGTTTGTTTGTTTTTGGGGGCGGGAGGCTTGAACTCAGGGCCCCAGTGCTTGCTAGATGGTGATCTACCACTTGAACCATGCCTCCAGCCCTTTATGTTTAGTTGTTTTTCAAATCTGCCCTTGCATTCTCACCCAGGCTGCTAGAGCCCAGGCTGTCAGGACCTCAAGCCTCCTATTTACACCTTCTGCACAGTGATCTCCACTTCCCAAGTAGCTTGAATTACAAGTGTGAGCCACCTTGCGTGGGAAGGACCAAAGCCAGTAATAGGAAGAATGCTGATTTAAGATAATATATACAAGTGTCTTTCTTTCTAGTTTCCAAAGAGGAAGGGTATGTGGGTGTGTGTGTGTGCATGTGTAGAAGCACAAACATACAAACACATTTTTTAAACTACTAAGATGATAGCTTAGGCCTTTATTGATCAACTATTATGGTGACAGATAAAATGATTTAGAAAAGAATTTTAAAGAAAAATACTTACCTCTCTTATTCAAAGAGAGCTGCAAAGAAAAGTTCTAATTAATTCACATTTTCTCCACTACTTCCTTTTCTAAGCCAGAAACTAAACAATATGTTCTAAAGACATTTTTAGTAGCTCAAAATAGGATATTTTCCTCTAGCTAATCTGAATTTGTAGTTAAATCACAATTTTTCATTTATATTTAATAACCATTTCCCCCAAAGACATATTTACCTTCAGCCAGTGCTGGTGATTCTGTCCTTGTCCTTCTATCTGTTTAAAGAAAGAAAAAAGGAGGAAAGTCTAAAACATTATTATATTTATAAACAAGTTATTATAGTTAACTTTAAAAATGTAGTCCATGAATTCATTTAATATATTCATCTGTATTTATTTCCTTGGGTTAATTCATCCACTACTTATGGAGGGCCTATTAAAGAATAAGGCATCAGGCTGGGGGAGTAGCTCAAGTCATAGAGTACCTGCTTAGCAAGTGCAAAGCCAAGTTCAAATGCTAGAAGGGCCAATTGAAAAAAAAAAAAAAAAAAAAAGAGTAAGGTATCACATTAAGTCTTAGAAAAACATCAATAGATGATAAGACAACCTAGATGTCACCCTTACCACTCAAAAACTACTATGTGGATATGTGGAGCCAGAAGTGGTCCTGCATGTATATGATAAGGTGGAGGTAGGGGTAGGAAGGTCTCCTGTGAGGCAGGTCCCCCCAACCCCATAAAAAAGTGAGACCCTACCTGAAAGATGAACTAAAGAGAAAAGGGCTTGGAAGGGTGGCTCAAGTGGTAGAATGTTTGCAATACCCTGAGTTCAAATCCCAATACCACCACAAAACAAAACGGAAAACTAATAGGTGTACCAAGAAAAATACACGATTTTCATCACAGTTTACCAAACAAGGAATAACAAGAGAAGGAAGATTGGCAATTTCTCTGTTCTTGTAAGAAGGATCTAAAATCATCAAAAGAGGCACATATACATATTCTTATCACAGTTTAGGTTCATTTAGTGTCAATGAATTAAAAACCAGTTTTACTACAGATACTAAAAATCCTTATTCCATGACAATAACCTACTCTTTGCCAGAGTCACACCTAACAAAACTCAAGAGAATTATCACCAACTCCTCTCCTGGACTGGTTTTGCTACTTCAAAGACTAAAATAATATGAGATAAAATAAACTCTTTACAAAAGTTTACTAAAACTTTGTAACCAAGAGCAACTAGAGCCACTATAACCAGCCTAGTTCACAAAGGGAAAGAAATATTTGGCTAATGGAACTAGTTACCTTTATGTGAAAATGTTTTTCCCTAATTTATTCTATAACTCAAGAGCCCTGGATTTAATATACCCAGTTTCATACACAAAAGCACTGTGTAACATCCTGAGAGGATGGGGCACTTATCTTCCAAGATAGTAACATTGCACTTCCACTGTCTTCTACAGACTCAAGTATGCGTGGCTGTGTGTCTCTAACAAATACTTTGAAAAAAGAACCAACAGATGGAAGTAAGATTGAGAAAATTTAGGCTGTCCTGGATTGAACATTTTGATTTGAATGGGGGGGGGGGGGTCTGACAGAAGATACAAAAAACGTTCTGCAAAATTCTGAAGCAGTAGCTACTGCCTGGTCATTTTGGTCTTTTTTATTTTGGACTTTGGAGTTACCATGGGATTGAAGAGGGAGAGGTTGGACTGTAAACTTACCCTAACAACCATAAGGACCTGTGGTGATGCTATGCAATGAAAACAAGAGGGAACAGACCAAGAATCTAAGTGAATTCAAATGGTATAGTCACATCCAGTGACAACTAAGTGGGCATTTTACCAGTTATGCCATGAACAGGACTAAAACAACTACAGGCAAGGGACCCTTGGAGAAGAAGGTCTGGGTAACTTTATCAGGAAAGAGCCTGCTGAAGTGCTAGCTGAAGGTAAGGAACTCTAGAATGAGCGGTAGAGAACTGAAAGGGTGAACACGATCTACTAATTCTCTTGCTATAGTCTGTTGAGATTGTAGCCAGCCACCACTTTGAAAGCTTTTGTAGTGGCTAGCATTTAATGGAGGATACAAATAATAGGCTATACAGGATGACTTTTATGCCACCTCACATTTTCACTCTGGCCAAGGCATCTCCCCCTATCAGCTTTAGGGCTTTGCAGTAGAAGATGCTGAAGGAATTCTTTGAACATCTGGGGCATAAACAGAACTAGAAGTGTGAAAGTGTTAACACCACCAGCAACCCTTGACCAATGACTGATGAGACCTGGGATGAGTAACTCCCCTGGCTCCTACGTGAAGGCACAGTCTTCTCGTTTTCTGGGAGGACTTCCTCAGGATCAAACCCCAGTTGCCCCTAAGGATGACCAGCTTAATAAAGCATCCTTCCCTCCACCCCCACTTTTAAACTTTTCTATTCTTTGTTGTTTCTCAACAATTCAATAATCTTTGAATTGTCTTTCCTTCCTTCCGGTTTCACTTGCCCCTATCTTCTAACTTCTATTTCTTATTAACAGGTCCCAAATAATTAAGTTGCCTTCCAGAAGGCCCTGGTCTCAGGCTCTGCTTCTAAGGTAAACCAAGTTTAGCCACTCTTATCTTCAAAGATACCATACTCCCTTTTCATCACACCTCACTGCATGCTCTTTTCAATCTCCTTTCTTAAGCTCCTTCTTTTCCCTCAAACTTGTGAAAGCTGACAAGGTCCAGGGCTCAATCCTGAATTTTCTGCTCCCTTTGTGATCTCATTCTGTCTCACAGCTTTATGTACCAGCTATGTTTCTCAGATTTTCATGTCCAGTCTACAGATCTCTCTCCAAGTTCACACTCACACGGCCTCTGTCTACTCAGTATCTCCAAATGGTATATTCAAGCCTGAAATGTCTAAAAGTAACTCTTCAATCTCCCATCTCGAGTGGTAACAACTCTATCCTTCCAGTTGCTCAGGTTAATAAATTTTGGGTTCTTTTCCATTACTATTTCTTGCATATTTCATGTTCTGCCCAAACTCTAATTAAAATCTTCACACCTACTATGTCCTATTAACTCAAGAGTTTGGAGATTCTCCTGCATTAGCAGTGTTAGTTCTACTATTCCTTCTGTTTTCAAGAGGCTGCAAAGTTAATGGGGTTGGCTGGGACCACCCAATGCAGAAGCACCAACTAGGACAAACAATTAAATGCGTGTTTTATCCAAATGGTGTCGTTGCTATTAACATGCCATGCTAAAAAGGCAGTGATCCAGTGTTAAGATACTCATGTCAAACAACTTTTAGTAGTTAGCAAGTAATGAAGTAAGTTCTAGGCATATTCAGTATGCCAAATGAAAAAGTTTGAGGGCCATATTTTGTTACTAAACCATTAGTTTGAAACTTCTACTCTAGAACTTCACACTGTCTATAATTTATTACACTACTAATCCTTAATCAACCACTTTTCTCAACTCGTAAGGACATGAATGGGAACTTACCTATATTCAAAGCCTTACTGCCAGGGTTTTCCATTTCCAGTGGAAATGAATAAAGATTTTTTTTTCCCTTTCTTTTGCCAAAGGTAACACTTCTTCCCGTAAGGCACACTGTAGTCACCCAGAAATAAGTATCTGGGCTGGCCACTTTTATAAACTACAGGGACAAACCAGTGCCATTTGCTTAAAACCATGGGGGAAACTCAATTTTGTCTTGTCTAATCCTTAATAAGCCAAGTCCTAATAAAATACTTGTAATTATATTCACCCTCAGAAATAAAATATCAGGTCATAAATAATATTAGATAATATTTAAACTGGTTATCAGACACAATTTACAATCAATAAACCTAGAGGTTTTAAGTACTAAAATACATTTTTTGTCTACATCAGAAGACAAGACCTAACATCTATAACTTCAGAGCACTCTGTCACCCATATTTACAGCCTTGTCGTATTTCAAGTGATAATACAAAATTCTGCCTGATTCTGCAACCTAGGCTGCATTCTTCCTTCATTTGAGCACATGATATCATCTAATTGAATTCAGTTTGTTTAAGGTTCCCTGGACATACACAAAAAACCTTAAGAAACATCTTAGAAACAGAAAAAAGCACTTGAATTAATGGGCCTACTGACAATGTTCTCAGATCAGACAATAAATATCACAAAAGTGCATTATTGTTTTAAAAAAATATGAATAAGTTTAATTTAAAAACTTGGAAAAATAATCTATATTCATCTGGGAAAAAAGAATCATAAAAGTCTACAAAAATTTTTTTGAATAACAGAACAGATGAGACGGATCAGCCCTAGGGAAGAGAACAGTGAAATCAGAAAAGCTCCAATTGTATGTATATAAAATTTTTTTTTTTTTTACAACACACACCAAATATTTACCAAAGAATTTATTATTACACAATACGCCAAGAGATGTTATTAATGAAGAAGACAGTGCTTCCTAAGGCAGCTAGTATGTAGCTCACTGTGGCAATTAAAATGTTTAAGGCAATCAAAATGTGGTACATTTACCAGCTACTCAGAATGCAAAGGCAGAGGAAGGAGGCTCACAATTCTGAAGCCAAACAAAATTAGGGAGGTCCTATGTCAAACACAAAATAGAAACAAAAGGGCTGGGAGTATGGCTCAAGTGGTGGAGTGTCACAAGGTCCTGGGTTCAATCCCCAGTACCACAAAAAGTAAAAAGCTTAAGGCAAAAATGTATTATGAGAAATATCGACATACAGTGTTGCAGCAGGTAAGAAAAGAGTTTATTTAGAGCTAGGGGAACAGAAATTAGACTTATGAAAGATTTTCTGAAGCCTGTATGAGGTAGACTTTGAAGAATGGATAGGAGTTAAACAAGCAGAAAAGGAGGTGAAAGTTCAAGAATATTTAAGGTGATGAACATCTCATCACAGAGCAATGAAGAATGAAAATCTCACTTTGTAATCCATGGAGTGACTGAGTGTCTGCTCTGCAAACACAAAACCCTGAGTTCAATTGCCAGTCCTACAAAAAGAATAAATAATGCAATGGGAAACTGAGATAGATCCTTCTCACCCTATGTTGTGGGTAGATTAGTTTTTTTGTTAAAAGTAAATCCTAAAAATAGAAAATAGTATTTATCTTTGGAGGAATGATACATTAAAATTTGAATAAGAAAGTTAAGATAGATATAATCTTGTAAGTAAAAAAAGGTATCAAAATGTTTGAGTAGTTCCTGTTAATATACATAATCAAGATAAAAGACAACCATGACTACTTAAAACAGGTAGACAAGAATAAATG